TTTTTAATCTGGTAATAAAGGGCTGTTTTGTTGCTGTAGAGTGCCCTGACAAGTGTTAGATTAAAGAACCTATACATATGAAAATTACAGTCATTATTTTGCTTCCTGGCAAATAACAAAGGAGGTAATAATGACAGATTTGAGCGAGCCAAGGAGGAGGGAGCAACCTGAGGCAGGACTCACACAGGGAACACAGCAGGGATTTGAACAGTCCTTGATTGCTTTCGATATGAGCCACAGGCCGATCTCTCACATTTCAAAAGTCAAGAAAATGGAGTCGTTAGATTGGTACACTAATATCAGGATAGATTTTAACTCCAACACAAATATGGCTTCTGGTTAATGATTTGTGTATTAATATTGTTTTATTCAAATCTGAAGTAACCAATACAAGTTTAAATTTATTGCAGTAGCTTGTTTTGCTCATAACTGGTTGTCCATATCATGTGAGTAATCTTATATTCCTTTAATATTAACAGAGAACTGGTAGTTATCCGATTCCTGGTAGTCTATCAGAAACACTCAACAAATTATTCCTTTTGTAAGACAGGATTTTTTTACCGTTTTTCCATAATCCATTTCTAAATTTAACATTATAGTTTGCACTATAAATTGCTCCAAAAGGTACATTCTTCTCAGAAAAAAAAACTAAATTTGGTGTTGATGGGAGTACTATCTCCTTGGCCTTTATCCTGCAGTATCTGTCGGAGAATCCTTATAACAAACATATTAAGTGTAACTTAGTGCTAAAGCTACTAGCAGTAGAAATACATTCCTGCAGTTCAGCACTCTGACACTGTACATAATCAGAGCCTCTTTAAAATGGATGGAGAGTTTCACTTCACTGCAGTGTCTGGAGTTTTGGTCTCCTAACCAAGTGGTCTAAATAATTTTGTAGTCCTTTTGTGGAGTGAGAAACTGTACAAAAATGCTTTCATGTGAAGGTGTTTTAAAATTACTTTGCATTTATGTCTGTTCTGCCCCCCTGGTTAAACTATTTCAAATATGTTCTGCCTGTGTGTTCATGTGGGTCTTCTCCCAGTGCTCTGGTTTCCTCTCCACGGTCCGCAGACCTGCTGTTTGCGTGAATGGACGTCTGGCTTACCCCTGTACGTGTGAATGAGTGAGTGTGCTCTGTCCAGGCTGCAGTTATCCCTGAGACAGGCTGGTGATGCCTCCTGGGTTCACTGCCACCCTCTTAAGGACAGCATGGTTGCTATTGCGTGCTGCACAGTAGTGAAATATTCAAGAAGCTGACATAAGGTAGCAAAGAGGAAATCGGGGTAAAACCAAAAGCAGCCGTGAGAAATGTCCTATGAAGGTGGGCCGTACAAGCAGCCATAACTTGGTAAAGGTTGAAGGGTAGACAACATTTGGCCTGTAACGTCTTTCCCCAGGGCTCTTCCTTTTGTTATGCAGTTCTTAAAATGTGTTTGTCAGCTTGAGTTGGTGTGTGAAGAGGGTGAAAGGTGGAGGTAGAACCTTTGTCTATAGCAACAGTTGGCCTTTGACTCAGTTAGATGTGGCACACCTGATTGGGCTAAACTGAAGACAGCGTCCCGCCCCCTTTCCCTATCAGCCACACCGATCGCACTCTACATAAATCCAGCCCCTGAGGAGGAAGTCACCTCTTAGCTGGTAGTGAGGAATCGGGTCAGGCTTGAAAGTGAATGTTAGATTAACAGAAGAACCAGACTGAGTTGTAAGGATATAATTCAAATCATGAAGACAAGTTTGATGAGGAAGTGCTCTTTGGACAGTCTTTAGTAAGTACAGTACATTTTTGTTTTGGTACAGCAGTTTCAATTCAAAGCTGAGCTGAGAAGATATTATGCTGTGCTCACATGCGCTGCGTGCTGTACTTCATTGTACCTTATTGTCTTTTCGATTAGCTGAACACTGGGAGAAGTTAACAAAATTCATTTTGTGAAGCGGGTAAATTGATGTTGACTGGGTTCTATGAAGGTCCATTTTGTATAATACATCTTGAACAATTTTATGGTGTTTTTTAGTTGCAATGAATTGTAAGCGAAATTGTAAATGCAGAATTGAGCATACAGAAACTTCAGGCTACAAGATACTTTGCCATAAATAGCTTTGGACTTGTTTCCTTCTGCTCGAAATACAAAATATATACTTTTCTATAATAGATCTTCCTTTTTCCTTTATTTTGAAGTGGTTTACAAGAGATATGGTCTCAGTAAATAATGCTCAATCCCATAACTAAATCAAGGAAAACCTAAAAAAAAACACAATGAAGACCTGATCGTTGGGACATCTTCACAAAATGTGAGAGACTTTTTCTTTCTCTCTAGAAGCCGGGGTTACATGGGCAGCAATTGTAAGTTTTATGTGCTGAGCCTCTGTCTTTCGGTACTGTGATGAGCAACTTGTAACGAAAGACATCCTGCTAGGAGATAACAATCGGTGCAAAACACCCTCAGTAATACTGTATTTGAAAGTGTTCAGTGAGAACATTTTTTTAGTTAATGTCAAAAGTCAGGGCAGAGCGGTGGCTCTGTGGCTAAGGATCTGCGCCTGTGACTGGAAGGTTGCCCGTTGGGCCCCTGATCAAGGCCCGTAACCCTAACTGCTCCAGGGGCGCCGTACAATGGCAGACCCTGCGCTCTGACCCCCAGCTTCTCTCCATGTCTGTGTGTCTGTGTCTCCATGGAGAAATGCTGGGGTATACAAAAAGACGAATTCCTAATGCAAGAAATTGTATAGGGCTAATAAAGAAATATTATTATTATTATTATTATTATTAAAAGGAAAGGCAGAATTTGTAAGTTAAAGACTTGTAGCTCTGGCAGGAGTAATAAAGCTGGTAAATGATCTCATTAATGGGGTCTCTGTGGTTTCCCTGAGTGAGGTTAAGGGGTTCACGTTGATTAGAGGAGGTACCTAGGTGTTTTAATTCATCTGTGCAGTTGGAGCACTACAGACACTGCGTAGGGAGTCCCATATTCCCTCCCAAAGGCCCCCTGTTGCATTATTCTGCAAGCTAGAAGCATCTTTTAGATGTATATTGGATAATGAAAGAGACAGCTGTTCTTATGAAGGAGATCTACCTCATCTACTACACAGTAGACCAGGGGAGTGGTGAACAGAGGGGTCCTGTTTCACTGGGGATACTGGAGTATTGGTCTAGTGGAAAGAGTGCCACGTACTGGTCCACCAGCACCACTTACAGCAGCAACCCAGATCTGAGCACTTTCAATTTAAGCTTCATTATCCCCCAGGGGAAATTTGCTTTGCGGTAGACCCCAACAATACACCAAAAACATCAACAACAAGGAATTCGAAAGTTAGGAAAGTTTGGAATACATTATGATATAACGATGACTGTAATTGAGCAAATGCTTTTATCTATAACAACTTGCAGAAAACCAGGTGGTGAACTATTCAACAGCTACTAGTTACTAGAAAGTGTCTCATTTTGATGTTACATCCTCAGAGGTAGGACCAAACTTTGAACTCGGCTTGTCCTGATTAGTGACTGGAACTGGCTTAATAAAGACATGTGGAAAATAACATATTCCTGTCATATTCATGTTGGTGTTATTGCTGTTTTCTCTACAATTAAAACTGTTCTTAGCAAGTGAGTGAAAGTGTTAACTGCCAAAGTAACACTCCAGTTCTTGGCTCACTCATGTTTTCCTCAAGTTACTTCTGTTTCTAGTTGGAAGGTCACAATGGAAAACCATCTGCAGAACATAAAAAAACATACATTTTCAAGAAGTAACGAGCACAACCAACCTTACATTCTTTATTGTAAAATCAATAGAACAAAATACATATATGCTAAAAGTCTGATTTCATAGTTTTGTATATGATTGAATCCACTGCACTAATAGGTGTCCAGATTTCTAATCTAGCAGTTATGTCAACATTCCAAGTTCAGGTGGCTTTTAAACACTTGTTTCACTCTGCAAATGAATTTAAATTCCATTAGTATTCTTGATGTTTTGGCATAGTGCACCTGAGAATATATTTTCTTTTAATGAGCAGTGGGTGTGCTGATGTTTCTGAAGTACCTAGACATTAGTGTGTACTCTGATCTGACAGTGTTGTGATCAGCAGAAACCAACCAGCCGTCTTCAAAATGATCAAAGGCAGATAGAAACCTCCACATATCTCGGTTTATTAGTCAGTGTCTTGAAGAGTTGACACATTGAAAATTGTGATCTTACTGTGCGTGTTCAGCTGGGTCTAAGCATCTGTAATAGAAAAATGCTGTAACCCTTTAGAAAGACAGAGTGTTTTTTCCTCTGTGTCCTGAGTGGCAGTGGTAGAGCAGAAGGGCTGGAGTCTACAGATTTAGATTTTTCTTCACTTTCTTCAGACCAATTCCAGCTGCTTCACTCCTATCACAGAACTGAGCAGAGGAGTGATTACAAATGGCAGGAGACCCCTATCTCCTTTGGCATGTAGCAGGTTATTGATCCAGGATCTCGTACAGCCAATTTCAATCCTCAGTCTCTTGAAAGAAGCCAGGCACCTGGCTTTGACAGCGTGGCTGGGTTAGTTACTTCAGCTGGAAGAGAGTAATGCTGTTGGAAAGCGTCTATATCCATCCTACATCTTATGTTTGGGCCTGTTCTGAATTTCCACGTGCCATGCTTTTGTTTTGTGTCATCCTTTCCAGCAGAGTTCAAGACTAGTACTGTTCAGTTCTAATCTAGTGTCTTGGCATTTAAAGTTCTTCATCCCACACAACTAACTCTTGAGAGACACAGGAGCCCTAGAAGACTATTACTATATGAATACATTGGCTAGTGGAGACCAACACATGCAGCATGCTGAAGCTGAGCCTCCAGGCATTGAACACCTGCACAGAAACTCCTGTTTTTAATGTATACCGAGGGCTTTGTACGACAGCGCTGTGTAAGGCGCCCTTGGTTGGAACTGCAATTGCTCAATAGCTGCACATGGTGTTGCTGTACTGGCTCCCACATGATACTGCTGATTCTTCATTTGATTCTCCACCTCATCAATATGCAAGAAGAGACTCGTTTTTGCGCAGGGTAGTGGCAGCTCTTCTCCTTACCGTCAGTCTGTGGGGAAAAAAACGCCTGCATTTAACGATTACGTCATGGAAACGCTTCCTCGATTTTTTAGAAAAAGGTGTGGTGTTACACCTGCTACAGGTGCTGCTCAACGTCAGTCCAGTTCACTCAGCACTGAGAGCACCGGCTTGCTTGTTGAAGAAATGGGTTTCTGAAGCCAACTTCGAGAAGTTAGGTGTAGACTGGAAAATGTTCTTGTGCCTTTTCAGTTGCTTTTTTGTGACATGACTGACTTAAAACTGAAGGAAGAGTCAAGAGTCAAGAGTCTTATATTAACTGCAGCATTAAGATGCGGATTTCTGTAGAGAGCTGTTTCCGTACTACAAGAGGAAAGTCTGTGCACAGGTATGAAGATTGTCTTACATTGGTCATGGTGTCAGAGGTTAGAGACAACTTTGTCAAAAACTGCCTTCATTTTATGAAAAGGCTCAGAGCCTGACGATCTTTAGAGAAAGCAGATCTGAAATTTATAATTTGTGCTGTTTCTCAGACGCTTCTTTTTACTTTTTGTGTAGTTAATTCAGCCGGATAAATCTTTCACTGGTTTCTACCACTTTTATATTAATGTATAACTATAACCAAATTGTCTTGTCAAACTTTAAAAAAAAAATCCAGGTATTTAACATTTCTTGTACTTTTATTAAATTGTAAAACAGTACCTTTTTCGGCTTTATTAAAAGTGACAGTTTTTGTCACTCAATCTTTCCCATATCAAAAGCTGTTTAAATGTATAAGTGTCATGTGTTGTGTACCCTGTCGATGATGAGAAAGGAGGATGTTAGGAGCTGTAGATGTAGATTGGATTGACTGAAATTCTTATGTGTGGCTTATACCTTTTAACGAGGTTAGATCAGAGTTTCCAGTCGAAAGAGAATGAATTACACAGAAGGCTCTTTTGGTGTTGATGTAACCTTACCACGGCTCCCAGGCTACTGTTAAACCAAATCAAAAGGCCTTCATTGCTGGTGACAGATCTCTGAAACGGTGAATTAACAAACTTGGAAATTCTGTAAGTGAGTTACAGCTTCCCGAAGGAAACAAGGAAAGGGAAGGAGACGAAAATAACATGCAGGTTGACGCATGCACAGACACACACACAGAGAGAGACACACAGACACACAGACTGACACAAGCTGAATTGTGCTCCTGCTCTGCCTTTCCAGTTACCAGGCAGAAAGCGGGGGAGGCTTGGCGATGCTGAAGAAGGGGAAGAGCAGGATGAAGATTGAGCCCAGGAAAGCTCAGAGCCTAGAGGAGGCCCAGCTGGAGATGCAGCAGTTCCACAAGGCTTTGGCCAAGCAAGGAGCCCCGAGGTACGAACAGCTGTCTGGCCCTCTGCCTGTCCTTCTGAGCGCCGCCTCGTCCACCCCGAACCCTGAAACAGCAGGCAGCGTCCTGACATGGCAGGTGGATTCCTGAAAAATCTGTGTAAATTCCAAAATTAAGGAATTCCCCATAAACCTGTATGTAAAGTGTAGGGAGGTTTTGGGTCCAGTCCCAACCAGAGGGCTGAACTGACAAATGAGACAAATTACACACTCTTATTTATGTAAAATGTTTATATACTAAACCTGTTGCATTAATTTTTAGACTTGTACAAAAAGTCATTTTTAAACCAAATGTTTGGCAATGTTTATCGGTTTAAGGGAATACTTTAATTATTTTCAGCCCTTCTACTCTGGACCTTTTTGAAATGCCTTTTTATTTCAAAGTCTTGTAAGTAACATTACAAATGAGTTTTTCCTTATTTAGAGTTTTAGAGAATTAATTATTTGTCAGCAGTTTTAGTCATTACGTTTTATGGGATTAGATGACAGAGGCTGGAAGACAAAACCTGCCCAGCTGCCTGTGTGTCACCCGAGCAATTCTGTTCATCCTGGCAACTGGTACTCAATGCGTTAATTAAGGTGTATATTCTTGAGGCGTGTTAAACAACGCGTAAATGAAACACAGAGCAGTTGAGAGCTGACTGCATGAAGGGTCAAGCTTGACACTGCCAGGACACAGAGCATTTCAACTTCAAGTCTTCACCTTTGCTGCAGGTCCCAGACGTTTGACTGCACATATGAGAAGCCGCTGGAGAAAACAGAGGGGACAGGCTCCGTCAGTAGAAATGTAAGTTTTGCCTTGCCTTGGGCATCCTGTAAAACACACGGAGGCCCTAACTAAGAGCAGGCTTTTAAACCTTTTAGCTTGAAGGAAAAACTAACAAAACCAGGTTACCAGTGTATTCTCTGCTTACAGAGTCACCCCCACCCACCAGGAGTGCACTCTGTATTTACGGCCCTTATGTTACTTAGCACAAGCATCGCAAAAATGTAAGCGGCTGCCCTGCTATGGAGATATCTAGTTGTAGGGCAGTGTTCCCTTGGCTACAACAAAGGTGACAGAGACACAGTCACAGCACTGATAATGTTACCAAAATCTTGCAGTGAGTGTGGCCCTGATTACAATTCCAAATGTGCCACATCAGGACAAGGGTTCAGTTTTGCAGTGGGAAGCCACAGTCGGGTACTGGTTTTGGATTATGATGTGAACACGGAGTGTGCAACTCATTCTGTGGAACATAGATTGCATCTATTCAGACATTAGAAATGTTAATTTTGCATCTGTTACCCTAGATTAGCTACTATATATATTTAACTTTGAATAAAACGTTTCTGTCTCTTGCAGAGCTTTGTAAAGCACAATAAAACATTCCACAAGCTCTTCCAAGACGTTCCAGAGCATGAGGCTTTAACACACAGTGAGTTGGCCTTTGTTTTCCTGAGTAACACGCCAGAATGCAGAGCCTGCAGCTCCCACAGATACACCTCAACACAATCAGAACACAGCACTTTAAACAGCCCACACCGCACAGATGTAAAGGTGGAAAGAACATGTAAATCCTCTTCCTACCTGTACTTTATGTAACATTTATTGCAATGGATTAAAGATTATAAGATTAAGTGTTTCTTGGACATAGAATTGAATAGAACCAAACTCGGTTTTGAAAATAGCCCTGTCACCTTTCAGCCCCAGAAGCCACAGACATGTCTAGGTTTGGCTAACACTTGAAATCCAGTCAGCTGTGTTTGCACCAGCACACAAAGAGCTACCTGTTACGTGATGATATAGCATATGATCTTTGGAACACCATCTTGTTAAGCTGCAAAATGTAGTGATTGTGAAAACAATAAAGACATAATTGCAGGACGTGATGATGTTTGACTTGATGAAGGACTTGCAATTTAAGGGTCATTTATAGATCAGCCTTTCTGTGTCAAAACACCATATGACAGCTATCTCAAGCTACAGCGAGCAGCCTTAGTGTGGACTCTAACCCAGTCTGTTGTTAAATCCTGGTTAGCAAGTGCAGTTGAGTAATAAAAGTGTTTTCCTGCAGCTTTTACATGTGCTCTGCAGAAGGAGGTGCCGTACCATGGTAAAATGTTTGTGTCTGAAAACTTCATCTGTTTCTACTCATCTGTGCTTCTAAAAGACACCAAGGTAAACAACACTCGTCGACCCCATTCTTACAAACTTGAAAGGTTGCACTTGACCCATTTAGTTTCTAATTGAACCGAGCATCTGAGTATTCAGCTGTTTCCTGAAATAAGTGCAAGTGTATAAAAACAGAGAACTGGAGGCAGGTCTTTACCCAAAGGGTTGTGAGAATATGGATCACAGTACCCAGTCATATTGTGGAAGTCAACACCATGAGTCCTTCAAGAGACATTTGGACATTTGGATCAATTAGCTACTGACAACCAAACTGGCTACAAGGACTAAATGGTGTCCTCTCATTTCTACTAAATTTATTTCTTAAATCACAAAATTGGCTGCTACCATGAGCCGGAAAGTGTGTTTTAGACTCTATAAACCACTTTGCGAAGAAGTGTTTCCTGTTGTTGTTTTTAAATACGTATCCCCTTTGATTCCATTACATTTCCTCATTGATATGATGACCAAAAAGTCAGTAAGTTTAAATGGCATTCCTTCAAAACTGTTGTGAAAGACAGTCTTCTCTGTTAATCATTACAAAAGTCAGGTTTCATCAGGCTTTCACTTTGTTTTTGTTTTTTTAGGTTTTTGCTTCAGTATAAAGTTAGCCAGTGCAAATGGATAGTAGCTTGACGAAAAGCAAGAGTAAAAAAGAAAATGTATTTTTGTATCTTCTGGAAAATTAGCTGCAAATGTATTTGTGCTAGGAAAGCAAAGCTTTAACCCTTAATGTTTTAGTCAAGATTAAGACTCCTGTTCTGCCTGACATTGACCCACTTGGCAACTCTGTGTGTTGAAGGTGGTGATTCCCGTGAGCTTGGTGGCCATTATAAAAAAACAGAACACAGCTCTCCTGGTGCCAAATGCTCTGTCTATCCGAAGAAACGATGGAGAAAAGGTGAGGATATAAAACAAAGCATTGCAATAATTATAAATAGGAGTAGGTCATTTTAGAAAAATGCAGTTTGTGGAAGAATTATACTCTTAATGTTTTTCTTCATCTGAATCTGCAAGTTCTTGTAAATGCTTGTCTTCACTTTCCATCATATTTTTGGCGGGGCCTGCATTCATTTTGCCTGAAAAGAATGCATTGTTTCCAAAATAATAATATGGTTTCATTTTACTGCTTCAGGCCCTCACCCATTTCTGTAAAAAAAGAAGCTACGTTGGTATTTTTTTCCCTCAGATGTTATTAAACGTAAATGAAAGTTCTAATGTTTTCAAGATTTTTGTTTAGATTTACCTTTGGGTGGTTATATCTCGTTTTCTTCCCCTGAATAATAAGGATCATGTATCTTTACTAATGTTAGAATGTAATCTCACAGTAGTGTTCACACCAGTTGTAAAAGGCGTCTTTCTTTGGTCTTATTGCTGATGTCTGGTTTTTTTTTTGTGGATCCACAGTTCGTGTTTGTGTCACTGCGGAACCGGGAGTCCTGTTTCAAACTCCTGAAGTCTCTTTGCTCTCAGTATGAGGTGAGCAATTTTCACCTTTTTCTCCTGCCTGCTTTCATTTCTGTCTTAATGTTACTATTTAAGCTGATTACACTAAATGTGGGTAACATCCATCACATCTCCCTGTAGGACCTCAGTACCAACAGCAGCCCTGTGTTCTCCTCTGCAGAAAACAGCCTAGAGAAAGGCAAGAACTTGGTAAGGACTAAGGCTGCTTCTTTCCATGTGTTGCTTTTTACAAAATGCTTTTGCTGTTGTGCTGCTTTTCAGCTAAAGGAGTTAATCTCTATACTAACATCTTAAAAACAAAATGCCAATGCACATGGAATATGTGTATTGCAGCCTTCCAAAATAACAAATGTCTTATTTATCAACGTCTTTGAGGACAATTTAACACTTAATCTAAAACCCAAAACCCATGAAAGATTTTGACTTGTCTTCTCTCTGCTCTCTGTAGCAGTGAGATTCATTTTACTTTTCTGACAGGGATCGTTGCTCTAGTGCCATTTCTTTTGTACAAGTGGACTGTTCTTCTTTCTGCAAAACATGGTGAATACAGCTGGAGCTGCTGGCAAAACTTCTGTTCTGTGCACTAGAAATCTCAATAGCTCTTGTTATTTTCCCCTATAGAATTCTAGCCAGTCCAGCCTCGAGGACAGCAATGATCAGTCCATTGAGAGAAATTCTACCTTCTCAAAAGATGTCTCGCCCATTCCCAAAGTCAACAAAGGCACCAAAGGTTAGAGTTTTTGTCATTGGAACCCATTTATATACCTTGAGAAACAGACATCACGTTTAAATATATTTCACTGCTGTACTCCAGGGACAGCAAAGTTATGGGCTTTGTCAGAGCTGTGGCCTTCCCTGTAATGGGGAGTAGTGACACATTCTTGTGATTCTTCCTTCCAGTGTTCTGCTATTCTGTAGCAAAATGTATAGCAGGTTTTTGTATTTATGATGTATGCCAATATGATTTAGCATTTCTGGCTTATAAAACTGGTTGGCCAGTCTCTGGATCCCACCTCTTCCTGTTTCGGTGCATTCAGACTTTGTGGTCTGTCCTTGAACCACAGCTTATCTGAATCTTCCGTGCACTCCAGTTAGGCATTAAGGCTGTTTTAATATATTCAGCATGTGAACCCAAGGGCAAGCAATCTGCAGGTCCAAGTCCAGGAGATAAATACGAGAGGGTCTGAAGGATCCATTAGTAAATCATCCTCGTATCCCCTTCACAGAGTATGCACCTGCTTTGAATGCGTCCACCCCTACAAATTACAACCATGAAGATCAGACCGACAGTGTTGCAGAGCCCCACACAGGTACTTTGTAACAACCCTTTTCCATGTTACTGTATAGCTTAAGAGGACCAGAGGAGTTTATGCAAGAAAACTTTGAAATTTCAATAATGAAATCACCTGGAATACTACAACTAAAGTGCAATTCTTTTGCCAGGTTCTTTCATTATCAGATATTCCCCTCACAGTTTTGTAACATAATAAAGATGATTTTTTTAATTTCAGGTTTTAACTTAAATATTTAGTTCCACTGCCTATCACGGACATATCAGGGATTTCTGTTCCAAAAATCGTTGTCTAAATTGGCCTCCCAGCAAGAAGATTTCCTCCTTACCCTTGCAGTTTCCTGGCTGCGCTGATTAAAAGGTTAGGTTTGGCAACAAAAAAAGTCCAGGAAACAGTGACAGATCAGTGAAGAAATACAGGTTTGCACCTGAAGCAGGATTACTCACAGAAAAACACCTGCTTCGTCTCAGTTCTCTAGCTTGAATAGATTAGTACAGAACTGGTAACCACCCATTCAGGATGAGATTACTGCATTTTCCTTAAACCATTGTATAGACAAGGAGAGGTGAGGCTCATTTCAGTTCAGGAATTTTAACTTGTTTGTTTCTGCCCCTGCCAGGTGCCTCTTGGGTCTGGTCGGTAACTCAGAAGGCGAAATCCTTCCTCGCTGTGCGAGAGACTACTGCTGTTAATGTCCTGCTGTTGATTTACCTAATGCTGTAAGTCACACTCTTGCACACTTTCTCACTGCACAGCAACACTCGAAAACACCAAACACCCCGCAGTTTCATCCAGCCTGTCTTGAAAGAAGCCAGGGAAGTGAATTACCAACTAGGTGGGGTAGCTTGTTCCAGACCCCACAACCCCTTGGGTCTTCGATTTAAATGTGCTGCCATGTAGTTTCCACTTCTGTCCTCATATATGCAAAGCAATAAAAAAACAGTATATCTCAATGCAATTTTATATTTTCACCATGTTGCAACAGCATCTAGTGTCCAAGGTGTGGAAAAAAGTTTCCATTTATCGTGTCCCAGTGCTTTTCCTGAGGACAGTTCTTTGTTAACATCACCGCACCCCCTCTGTCCAGAAGCCTTTGAGCTAACGTGAGCAAACAATTGTTGATATCAATTTGAGGTGTTTAAAAATAAACAATGATAGTGATTCCAAAACTAAAGGGAAAGATGAATGCAAATTGAAGCTAGAAACTAAATATAAAATGGATTGTTTTCTTTGCTGAGCATTGGATACCAGGTTTTAGGATTTAGTAGACCCAAAAGTATGTTCTTGGTGCGATTGTGATCTTTTAAATACTGACATTAGCAGATGGTTATGTGTCTGGCTGTCTGCATCAGTGATAATATCCAAGAAATCATAGCTGAGATCCTTGAGTTTTTGTCTTCTTGGTGCTTCACCTCTATTGCTTCTACTGCTCTGTTTCCTTATTGCCAACAATAGGAATTCAGTCTACAGACAAATCAGCCATTCTGTGCATATTTGCCTCAGTTCATTTAGCGTTATCATCACTGAGTTGCAGAAGGGCATTCTTCCTGAAAGAGGAATGCGTGTTAGGCAGCAATCTGTCACACGTAAGGCAAATTAAGCAAAACTAAATAGTCAGGAGCTGTATTTTGGCTGCCGACTCTTTATTCAGCAGCTTCATATTCTCCACGTAATTGTACTTTAAACTGCGTTGCAAATTTATCAGAGCAGTCTTTTTATGAGATGCATCTGTAACAGGTACACTTAATGATTTAGACATTATAGAACTAGTGAAGTAAAGTGATTTTAAATCATTTGATAATGTTTACACACACTGACCATGTGCTCATTTTAAACACAAGGTTGTTTAAAGACAGTGGTCATTCAGTGTGCAGCTTTTCATTAATTTGCATCTCATTGCAGAACGTAGTCTCCTGTAGAGCCAATTCTTATTCGCTCTGTCCTTCTGTAAAGGTGAAGCCAGCAGCTCACAGGGCTGGTTCAGATGGCTCTTCTAGGAAATGACAGCTCTTGCAGTAGAATCCACAGAATGCCTCTGGCGTCTGCTGTTTTAGTTACAGTATGTGTGTATTTGCATGTTCTAGGGTGGTTGTGCTGCTGCTGTCCTCAGGGTACATCGGCCTGCGCATTGTAGCTCTGGAGGAGCAGCTGACCTCCATGGGTGCCCTGCCTGAGTTCTCTATGCAAAGCGAGTAAGTGTCTCTCCAGTTTGACCCCTGCCCTCAGGAAAAGGCTGTGTTGGTGATGTACAGTGGCACGCAAATCTGTTAGGACCAATCCATTTTGTTAGACAAATCAAATCTGTTGCTGCGGATGTACTTCAATGTTTGTTCACAGCAGAGGAGAAGTACATTCTTCTCCTCTGCTGTACACACATGCAACTCAGTTGGTTGAAAGCTGGGGCAGAGTAGAAGGAAGGTTTTTTTTTTTCAAAATTGTAATTGCGAAATGTGTCGTGCCTGAGCTGCAGTCAGCTGGCCCTGAGCTGTGGCTGATACAGGTTTATCACCATCCCCAGTCAGAAGTGAAATACTTGTGTAACAGGGTGTGGCTGAAGGTGTGCACAGTCTGCCTTCCCGGAAAGCACAATGGCCGGATCACGTGCCTTGATGTTTTCCAAGATCTCACCTTACCTTTGTCAAGAATTGTGACCCCTCCCTCATGGGACCTCTCCTCCCCCCCGGTGTTCGTTTAAGGTGCAACAGCAGCCTGTCTGACTGACTGCCTGACTTTCACTTTCCAGAAAGTCTGCAGCGGTTTTGTGTTCTTGTGAAAAGCGTGACCACCTGAAAGTATCGCTCTTCTTTAAGAAGTTCCAATAGAGAGCTGAGTCAGCCTGCTTAGGCTGCAAAGGAGCAAGTTAAGGTTTATTCCAAGTTTTTCAGCATTAAATAAACCTTTACTTGTTCCCTCGTTCTTCTTTAGCTCTTTATCCGTATATTTAAATATATATTTATACTTTTTATACTCATACATTTATATTTTTTTTTCTTGAAACTGGTATTTCTCAGGGAATTTGCTTTAAAGGCTGTTTTAAAACTGAAAAAAAAACTGTTTTAAAACTAGAACAAGGTTCTGCATCTATTTTTTTCTTCTCAGCTAATGAATAATACTAAAGGCTGAATCTGAACAGGCTGTCTGATATGTTGTATTCGCCCACCTGACAATGCATATTTAGACGCACTCGTGTTGTGTGTATCTGGATAATGTGAAATGAGGTCAATGATGGTAGAGTGAAGATCACCACAGCCTGGTCCATAAACAGTAGTGTGATTGGGTGAGAAAGTGACATTGGCTTGAAAGACATTAATCCTTAACTTGAACAAAAAGTACACTTATGTGTGTGAGGGACTAGCAACAGTTATTTCAGGGGAAAGCAGAAAACGACAAACATACTCACCCTTCCTGCTTCTTTCACTCACAGGTACAAGAAGACATAACCCCTCAGATGTGGTGTAGAGGCCAGCACAAGTGCTGTTGTGTGGGATTTGATGATAAAGCCACCAACCGAGGGGAAAAGAAACTAGGCTCTTCTCCCTTCTTGAGAAGGGGCTTCAGGACTTTTCAGGAGGAAAACCTGTATTTGTTTTAAAGCAGGAAAGTGAATCCTTAACTCCACAGGCTCCTACCCTCCTTCTCTTTGCATCATTTTAATGTTTTTTTTCAAAGCAAAGCTGCTGAAAGCAGGTGGCCTCAGCAGACCTGTGTCAGAGATGAGTTCATGTTGATGAAGACTGGCGCGGGAGAGAAGCCCAGAGATCTCTTTGCAGCTTTAACTGTGGAAGGAACAGGTCCACATGAAAGAGGAAGAAAATCTTCTGGAGAGACTTTATTTTAAAAAAACCCGAAGACACCTGCTCTGAAGGACTGAACCTCGCCTAACAGACACATTCAGGGGTGATAAAAGGCTTTTCCCAAGTCAGCTGAAAGGAGGTGCATTTTTCTGAGGTGAATCGAACGAAAACAAAAAATTTTAAGGGAGTTATCCATAAAAAAAAAGCAATACATTTATTCTTTTTTTTTTCTTTAAATCTTAAAGGGCTGTACAATTTGATGGGGTTGAGGTAGTTTTACACTGTAGGTTATTATTCTCTTGTTTGAAGGTACTGTACCAGAGACAGATGTAGCAAAGCAACAATCACCTGTTGTTTACACTTGAGATTTCTGAGAAGATGGTGAAGTGGTACTTTAGATAATTGTCAAGAGATTATTCTTAATCATAAAATTGACAAGAAGATATATGTGAAACAAAGTTGGTCCCATTTATTTCTCAGGTTTACATATAAGTACGGCAGCACTGTCAATGGACACCCAAGAAGTTAACGCAATAGTGTTCGATACTAAGTTTTCAACATTTTGCAGGACATCCGTCTGTAAATTTCTAAGGAAAGTTGCCTTCGCACCGAAGCACAAGCAAAGGGTACAACATCAATTGCTGTACTGTTCATACAGGTTACACTAGTATTAATGTCTCTCGTTTTGTGAATCTCTGCTAATCCCTGTAGGATTTCCAAGTCTCTTATGCATAAAGAACTAAATTAGGACCAACTTTATAAATTGCTCTGGAAATACTTTTTAAACTTAAAAGCTTTCATTGTTTTAATAGCTTTTAAAGTGTCATGTACACATTTTTTTATATAATTAAACTGCTATCTTGTCTGCTTTTCAAGCAAAATAGGAATGCATGCACAATATAGAAGACATTAACTAAAGAAACTGGATAATACTATCTATGGGCAAAGCACATATCACTTACATTTAATGTTGGTGGGACTGTTTTGCGTTATTGCAGTTTTAAGACAGTAGATGGTGCAGTTGGACAGTTAGTGTGTCTGCTCTTTTTTTATGCCCAGTTATTGAAACTTGGCGTTCCATAATTTTGCAAGCCAGACAAATCCACCTCTTCTGGTACCGTGCTTCATTTACAGTCCTAAAGGGCGCCAAACCAGCAGTTTGATTTTGTAAGGTGTTTTTAATACATTGCTTTTAGACTTTGGAATTTAATTAAATTTAAGGATCATTCAGTTCAGTTATGCAAGTTCTTGCAAGGCAGTAGACCCTATGGACCATATTTTAAAAACAATGCTAAGTGGGCTGTCTGCCCTGTTTTTCAGTTGAAACCCAAAACCAGTGTACTCGAAAATAGCACGAGTTTCTGTAATGTAGCTTATCAATCTTCTTTTAATTAAGTATCTTTAGCATGTGCAATCTCTTTATTATTTTATTTTTAACACTCCTGAAGTTTTTTCAATGGAAAGCTCAAAACTATGCATGTCAGGCATTGTAGTAACCAAATACTATGTTAACAGCTACTTTTAGACTGATGTTAATTACATGCTATGAATTTTCTTGGGTGTAAATCTTAATGTTACCAAACAGCAGTTATAGCATTTTGTAATCAAGGTCATGTTTTCAAAATGTGTTCCGCTATATCAACTTGACAAGCATAATGAGGGACAGTTCATTGGGTAAAAACATGTTATTTAGAAGCTTTTAGCTCAACATTTCTTACAATTGTCTCGAGAAATGTGTGATTTGTTATTATAGCATGGGAATCTGGAACATGAATAACCAATCTAGAGCATGCCTTAGGTACAGGGCAGCACAAGGGGAACAGGGGGCTTATTCTACAGAATGACAATGGGCTGCGTGAGCTTTACAGCTTGTCTTTCCAGTTGTTCTGGGTTGGAATGGGGTTAATTCACACTTCAGTTGTACATCTGTTTCCAAAGGAAAGGGTCTACCTGGTGTAGATCAAAGAGTCCCAGTGCTGGATCTCACTCTTGCATGAGTAACACTCCTGGAGAGACAGTGTAACTGACGCTGGACGTTTTACCTGTTACCAGTCAGTGTGACTCTGTGCAAAAACACACTTAACCAGTCTTCAGGTTTCTTTATATTTACATTTAATACAGGACTCATATTGTATATTTATTTTATTGCTTTTATTTTAAGTTCAATGTGTAATTTTTTAATATGTATCCAAACCTTTCTGGAACACAGCCCTGCCATATTTCAACAAGTACAATACGTCTGCAGCTTAAGACAAAGCACAATCTGGAGCAAACACACCAGTGTTTGGTATAGCTCGGCCTGCTGCACTATGCAAGCCTTGACAGAGAGGTCTCTGTACCTCAGTATAACAAAGTTATATGCATCACATAGTTTGGTAATATGATGATTGGATTGCTCCTCTGTTTTTAGATGGTGCTTGTTTTTATGTGGAAGGTGTTTGTGTTTCATTCTTTAATATAATACAGGACTGCAATATAGCACATACACCAGTCCTAAGGATCAGGATTTTTTTATTAACTGGACACCAGTCACACTTTGAAATTTACTGTTGTCTTTCTCATCCTCTTTCAGAACGGGGCATTCTTCCTCAGTCTCTCTGTGAGTTTGCCCTTTGTTAATTTGTAGTCCTCCAAACTGTAAACTAGAGTTTTAAAGGAATTTTAATTATTTGGATGAAAAACAAATTATTTGTGTTTTTGCACTATTTCATTTTGTAAAGTTTGATATTTTATCGCATCGGTTGGAATGTGTTCTTTAATTATAGTTTGTTTTAAAAAATCGTATTTATTTGCAGTTTGTATCATTGCTGAGGCTGTCTCTGTGAGAACAGCCTTGGTTTTGACTGAAAGTAAATCAAGTTGTAATACTGAAATAAGGCCTGGCACTCTTTTCTGGGTGTGGTGGGGAAGGGGTTTCAGAAGAGGGTACTGCGAGGATTGCAAGGACTCACGCAGTCATGAGGAAGTGCAGGTACCTGTGTTATCTTATTTCTTAGTAGTGTAGCGGTCAAGTACAGTAGTGGTACCACACTAGACTCTGGACCGGAGAGCTGCTGGTCCAAATCCTGGAAAAGAGGTCACTGATGCACCCTGGGAAAGGTACTTGATTAGGAGTGTTCCCATCATAAATGGATCTCCATGCCATCATTATCAATGATTACCATGTTTTACAATAGTTATCTTTCAGGAGGAAAATAACTTTACCAAACTAACATACTGTAACACTTTACTTAGAAATGGGAAACAATGAGGCCACTGTTCCACGGCCAGAAAGTAAAATGAATTACACTCCACAATATTTACAATTAAACATACAGGAATTGCTTTGAATCCCATCCTTTGTGTATTAAAAATTAATTGCGAAATGTATTTCTTCTATCCATAATAGATTAAGGGGGAGCATTTAAAATAGAACTTTCTGTGTGTGCTATGTGATTTGCACCAGACAACGGGCATTGCAAGACAGAAGGTTTGCTATCTTTATGGAGCCAATGTGAGTAATATTGTACATCGAACCAACAGGCACGTGGCAACCCAGTTGCTGTTGCCCATGTGAGCACAAATGATACAAGTATTCCATATCCTCAAAGGCATCAACAGAGGCACCCAGCAGACTTCTTCAGAACGACCAACAAGATGCAAACCAGGGGACACAAGGGGAAACTGTGTGAAAGTGCTTTCAAAATCGAAAGTGTCTCTTCGCACAAAGGGCTGTGGGAGTATGGATCTAGCTACACAGCTGAAATGTGGATATGGCAGTTGTTTAAGACTTGAGGCTTCCTGGCAACAACCGCTGTACTCAGACAGAGTCGAGTCCTCCTGAGACACTGTCCCTTCTCAGTTTGCCATGGCTCAGGGCTGTGACAGGACCTTCTTTCGGCCCGTCCTCCATCACTGACTCTCAATGGCCTCTCTCCAACCAGTCCTCTCCTGCCTGGGACCCCGGACTTCTCTCCTGCTGCCTCTCTCTCGCCATTGACGTAGTGTCGTATCGCATTCAGTATGCTGTGGAAATCTGTATCCCCTTTCAAATCGCGCCTGTGCAATGGAAATCGGAGGTATGATCTGTCTGCCCGCTCGTGCATACGTCTCAGATTGTCCGTCGGAAACACACAAAACTGATTTGCTCTTTATGAAACAACAGTTTTTGCATGTTTTATACGCGCTTGTTAATCACATCAGTTTCATTTATCAGTTTAAAGAAAAAACAAAAGCATGAAACGCCGTACCTTCCAAAAAATGTCAGCATGCTAAAGTCTGTGGAGATTTCTCGGATTACAGGAAATGAATCTTGAAGGGCGTGAAAGTGGCTGGCCAAGAGCAGAGATGAAAACCAGAGCAGCTTCACAGCAGCGTGCGCAATGGCGGGAGGGCGGCTCCGTGCGGACCCCACCGTGACGGGCTCAGGCCTCACCCCCCGCAGCGACAGGCTCCACTACAGGGATGGGACTCTCGTCTTGTTGCGATACAGATGTATGTATAAGGTGGAGCAAGTGTTTCAAACCCACATTCAAAGTACCAGAATCTTTATTACTGGCCATTATCCCTCCTCGTCTCCTCTCTCCATTCTACTTCTCCAAGAAAAAAAAATCAGTAAAGCCTGTCTTTGGGATTGGCTAAATAAATCTGCCTTCTAGTCATGTACATTCACCCCATTTCCTTACGTAGTTTTTCTAACCCAATAAAATTAAATCCTTAAAACGCGAAATAGGTGTTTTTCATGGCGACACACAGTAGTTGGGTGCTCATGACAAACCCCAGCTACTCTAAGACCATGCTCCTTGGTGCAGTCTCTCACCCACATACCGGCAGAAACACACACCCCCTTCCAGGTGCCCTACACTGCTACTGGTGGGAAAAGGGAAATGCTTCCTGGCTAAGCAGCAGGCGTAGCCTGAGGAGAAGTATCTCATTGCCTTCAGGAACATGTCTGCAGCGGTAGCCTTTTCCCGAAAGGTCACCTCAAAAGCGTCTTGACAGGCCTCTAAGGACACGTACACGAAATAGAGCTTGGTTCTTGACTCGCAGCCTATCAACAGATTCTCCTTTGCGATCACAATGTTGGCCTGACAGACGCGGGTCTGCATTTCGGCCAGTTTCTTCTTCCCTTTATTCTTCCCCCAGAAGACTACCATTACAAACAGAGCTGGGATGAGCACAACAGCTCCAATGCCTATTACTACCCCTCCAATACATGAAACTGCCTGGTAATGTAGCTTAACACTAATAGAGCCTAAAACACTTGCACAGATACATGCAGCAATCCCCCCAAGAAACAACAGAAACAGCAGAAAGCAGACAGCCACTCGCACCCACAGAAGCCTGAAGCAGGAGCTGGTCTGGGAGGAACAGTTGATCATTCTGATGGCTGTGAGGTAATTCTCTGGGTCTCTGATGACCACGCGGAGCTGGTCAGGAAGAGCCATATCGCTGAACTCCCCCGATTTCCACTGTGGTATCCCCTCCTCGTCTGCGGCAGCCAGAGCCAGGAGGAGTTTTCCGCTGTAGAGCGAGGGGTGTTGGAATGACAAGCCCATGGAGCTTCTCAGCAGGTGATTGGGCGTACAGAGGACCTTGATCACCTTGCGGAGGAAGTGGGGGTCTCTGGCTTCCAGGTACGTGAGGTGGCAGAGGTGCAGGGGCACAGTGAGGCCTGGCTGCAGCAGGACTGGCACCACTGGCTTGTGCTCCAAGCAGTCCTTGAGCAGAGACATGTTGGTCTCCAGGAGACACCAGCGGCTGTTCAGGAAGTCTGGGCTGAGGACCAGCAGCACCTTCTGGCTGTCCTGGATGCAGACGGACATGTTCTCCAGCACCACCTGTCCAGGCACAAAGTCTCGGTCATGGTAGCAGAGCTCCAGGCCACAAGGGCTGGACTCCAGCGCGGCAATGAACTCGTGAACCCACTGCGAGTCCGCGCTGCTGTAGCTGATGAAGACGTGGAAACGCTCGCTGCCCCTGAGGCTGGGAGCCTGCAGGCGGTCCACGCTAGCAGGCAGCAGGGCTGAGGAAGGGCAGGACTCCTTTTCCTCGCTGGAATGGGGCTGGGCTTGGCATGCCATCGCTGTTCTGTAATGCTAAGAGGTGACCTCCTGTCCTTACAACACAGAGTCCATGTCCGTCTAGAAAGAAAATCAAGATACTGAGCTTTAATTTGAAGTGGAATCCTTAATATTTGATTTCACCAACATACCGGTGCAAAGCACGGTTTAGTAAAGAAGGTTGTGATAGAATCCACCAGTATGTAAGATGTCTCTGGGTATTTTCACACACAAAAACCCATAAGGATGAAACTTGGGTGCAAGTGCAAGTTTTGCACCCAATGTCTCTTGAGAACAGCCTCTCTTTATTATTTCCTAAGAGAGCACATCACTAATTATACCCATGTGAGAATATGCACTCAACCCATTAACCAATAATACAATTAAGTAATAATTACCCAGTGGAACTATAAACAATTGTGTGCGTTGTGTCCCTCTAGTGTCCGTTCTGCGGTAATTCATGCCTCCAAATGCGGCCTGTCCAACAGATACATTGGACAATACTATACCCAAGCAAACCTGTCGATAACGAAGGAAAGGAATCTCTGGAATATAAAACAAAAGTAAATGTACGCTTTGTTTTGTTTTTGTTTCATGCGGACCTTTGGAGAGTCAAATTCGTACCCTATTAAGACGCGTTACTGATATTTTGTAGCTAACAAGGAGGCAAATATTATTTCCTCCTATTAGATTTATATTGGACTGGGCAAAGAAAGAAAAGGGGGACTCTAATGCGATAAGAAAACAATAGAGTAATTTCCTGTACACGGTCACTGCCGAGGAAACTCCCGCAAGCTCACAAGTGAGGCGATTCCGCATTCTGTGCCCCTGCTGGAGAGCCTCACACGCCTTCCTCACTTCTGCTTTTTGGAGCAAAGTTAACATCGAAAAATCCCAATCTTGAAACTGATCGATGAGATTTTTAAAAGAGTTTCTGGCGGTGAAGGGCGCAGAATATTTCGTTCCAATCACCCTTTGAGCACTCCGATATTTAGGATCTAGGACGATATCTACACCTTATTTCTGGAAGACTTTCCAATCAATGTCTGCGTTCAGAGTTGGAGATCTATTGTATGTTTTAGTGTATTTTTCGGCGTGCTTTTTTAAAGCGATTTTTGTCTCCCTAACCAGAAGCGTATATTTAAAAAGAGCAAGACAAGATTGACACTTTAATATTTTTACTTAATTGCAAGTAATTGGAAACAAATTCCGGTGGGAAAACAGGATATTCCTTAATGATCATAACATAAAAGAAATCAGACCAGTTCCTTTGTGCTCTGCATAAAAAAAAGTTTTCATCTAACGTGCAGAAGGTGATACCGTATGATTTAGACGCGCTTGTTAATCAGATTATTCTCAGTTGATATTTCAAACAAACAAAAATACCATACCTTCCAAAAACAGCCGGCAAACAAAAGTCCGGGGCGATTTCTCTGCGTTGAAGGAAATGAATCTTCTGAAAGTGACGTATCCAGACACCTGCGCAGCACATGGCGGCTCAGAGCCGGCCCAGTACACAGCCCACATTCCGGCAGGCAACGCCTGAGTTCAGCCTCTAAGAGCTCAGCCAGACGCCTTAATTACCCACTCGTGATGGTCCGGTACTGGTCAGACCCTTCAGCAACTAAATGTTAACATTTTTATATTTATGCATATCTATCATATACACTTGAAACTAAGGAACAGAATCGTGTTCTGTCCGTGGAAAATGAGTACGCATTTTGTAGCTTCTATTATCTTTTCACAGAGATTCTGCCATGTTATGAGAAGACAAACCATATATGACAATCATCATCCTAAACTGCGTCTTCTATACCCTTGTGTAGGTTTAAGGAATTGTTCTATATAGTTTGTATACCTTTATTTCCTTCTTAGTCTGTATAACACTGCTCATTTTTATGTGCATCCCTCTCATTGAAAATTCAATTATTGGCAGACACAAAGACACCTTAGCTTCAATCCCAAACTCGATGTACAGTATGCATATATTAGTTACCATGTAAAAAACAGTGAGCATTTTTTATGTAGCATAACGGCTAAGCACCCGAACACTAAGCAGAAAACACCACGCACAAACACATTCGCGTCTGGTATTGCCTCCACACACACCATATGCAGAGTGTCATTTATAATGCTAATGAAATCCTGTGTTCCTCCATGCTCCGTGTTGAATATTTTTGTGTGTAAGACCTCTGCACAAGATACCCCTTTGCCTTTACACATTAATGAGACTCATGGCTGCCAGCAGTCCACACTGATAAACGGTTGTTGGTTGTTGTCAGTGATGACTGCAGCAGGGCAACAGGTTAACTGGACCAGAAAAATCTGTAGCTGTGTTGTAAAGTTTGTCGTTTTTTTTAGTATGTCTCCAGGCTAGTTCTTGCAGCTTTCCATTTAGTGGCCAAAGTAGATTTTCGGTTTATTTGAATTGGTTGAGTATTTCCCCATTTGATAGTCCGCGTATAAAACACTGCCACACACACACAAAAACCTTATGATTATAAACATCAACAAAACATGGCGCCCTCTAGTGTGAGAATATTTCCCATGATCCCATTTTATTCAGTAAATAATCTCTCTGGTTCACAGTTTGCACAGTGAAAGTGCGGTGCTTTGAATAGGCCAAATAAGATTTCTTCGCAACCTGTACCTATAAGATAAAAAAATAAATATCCTGACTTTAAACATTCTTGTTGATGTTTCAGCAAGGCAAGAACAACACAAGTAAAAAATCTCTTCCTGTACTTGACAATTTATATTGTGAAATTAAACGGCGATATTGCTCTCTGCCGCCGTTCCGCGGTGCCTCTTGCGGTGAAGGTGTCACACGAAGGGAAGGACTCCATACTGACTGATCCCACAGTGCCGGTTCCTGTTCTTGGCCAGTCGGACATAGCCGTCCTCCCCCCACCATGGCCCCCAGCTGGAAAAGAGCAGAGGGGGAGCTGGAGAGAGCGCTGGGACCACATGCTGCCCAGGTCCAGTGCATACACTTTAACGTTACCAACACTTTCATAGGTACAGTAGTCTGTTTGGTTACTAAAAACAAACAGCCTTGCAAATGGTTTTAGTTCTGACTTTTCTTTACACTCTGTGCTGACATTTAACGTCTTTCTGTCAAGCAATTGACAAGCTGTTTCTTCTAAAATTCTTTAATTATGAACAAAAACTCAGCAGTCAAATTTTTTGTCTAATTATTTAGTTTATATGTCCATTTTTTCACCCATTGTTCTCAGAGAGAAAGTGGCTTTTCCCTGACTGCTGTTGATCTGCAATTAGTTCTGATCAGAACAGCACTAGGTTCAGTCTGCTGACTAAAATAAAACTCATTATTAGTCAGGATAACAATAACAACAGAAGAAATGACGAGAATGGTGTTTCAGAAGGGCTCGCTTTTACCTGTTTCTGATGGTCCAGTATTGCTCAGATCCTTCGGTTCCAAAGCCGGTCAGAAGCATGGAGTGGGTTTGTTTCCACACAGAGCACTCGGGGTCATAATAGATTCCTGTGAAGAAGCGGAGCAGAGATTAGCACTGCCCAGGTGGCTCAGGGAGGACCTGTTCTCAGTTAATCAAACCGGTGTCTTACAGGCAATTCCAGGGCGCCCATGTGCACACACAGGAACCCTGCCTGACTCTGAGCCCATCCAGACCACTGCTGTGCATCTGGACCTCCCAGTCGCAGCAAAACCCAAGCTGACCAAGAATCTCTTCCTTACGGCACCTGGCAGCAGCTGGCCAGCTGGAGGGAGGATGGTAGCTGCAGGTGCTGACCAACCACTGAAGGGTTATTCACATGATTGATGAATTGATTATTGGAGAGGCTAAGATCCCCATTCTTACATGGGGATAATTAAAGGGATTCACGGTAGTGTTTGCTTGGTGGTTAGACTGTACAGAAGAGTTGCTTGGTTAAAGATTTATGCTTTATTTTGCTGTCCAGTGTGAGTTCAGGCCTCAGGAACCTGTTGTTTAGGGAGACGTCCCCGGGACACTGACCTGCACCTGACAACAGAGCTGTCTGAGTCACTAGGACATTGTCAGCAGTATGAACTCTTGTCTTTAAGCCACATTATTCTGACAAAGAGAAAGTCTTTCAGCTGCCAACATGAGGACAAATACAAACACAAACAGAGCTCACCTCTACGGTAAAACTGGAAGCTTGGTCTTGTGGTGTCTATACTGATGGCAACAGGCCCAATAGTCACTAAACCGTCTTCCAGGGCCTGTTCACTGCCTATAGGGAGGAATTTCCAGCTTCCCACTGTGGCAACAACTTTGGTTTTATCAGCAGCACAGGGCTGTTCCTGGATGGGGGAAGCAGAAAGGCAATACTGGATTTGGTGAACTCAGAGACTGGCCCAATATACTGTACAGGCAGCCACCTCAGTGAACCTCCTGAGCAGTAGCCCCTCCCTTTCGTATCGAAGCTCTGATTTAAAACATTTTCTAGTGTTCTCCTTCTTTTACTCCTTCATTTTTGTGTTTCTGTAGCACAATTTGTAAAAGATTTGAACAACATCCCACCCAAGAGCTCCATTTCATTGCTTCCCAGAATGCTCTGCAGAGGGTATGCGCTACCAGATACTTCTGGCCAGGGCAGGAGTGATGGCAGCTGGGAGCTCTGAAGCACACTTCTGCAAAAAGTGGGTCCAAATATGAAATTGTACAAAAGCAGCAGGGTTGACACAGGAGCAGCCCTGCATTCTTCTGACATCATCACTCACTCTCATGGCATAAGGGTAGGTGGCCTCAGCTTGGATCCCTTCGTTATGGATAATGTAGTCGTAGGCCAGGCTGGCCCACCCTCCTGTGCAGCCCTTAATTCCTGCAGTGCAGTCAATCAGCTGCTGCTTGCTCAGAGGAATCAGCTGTCCTGTCTTCTTCTTCCACTGGGCCTCCAGAGCCCCAGTAGCACTGTAGGCCCAGCAGGAGCCACAGATACCCTGGGAGACGTGAGGGGCACACATTGGGAGAGACAGAGACACACAGCACTAGTTGGTAGGATGCACAACAGATTGATCGGGAAGTGTTATCAATCAAGAACAACTCAGGCTCAACTCAGGAAGGTTTATGGGTC